ACTATTATTTTTTGTGAGGTTCATTTGTTTATTTGTCTTAATATTATTAGTTGGTGATACCACGTCACATTGTCAGGGGATATCACCGTTGTAATGAATTTTTTCTAAGGAGACCCTACCTTGGACCAAAAGCTATGCCACCTTGACATTCTCTCCAAATCTTGCTCCTAAATTTTCTACCATCAAGATTTCTAAAATATTTCCTGACAAATTTGTTATATAAGCAACGGAATAGTCTAACTAAGGGGCAAGTATATACGCTACCCCAAAGAAACCCTATTGTGTATGCTCTTCTTCCTTGAAATAATAACACACGCCCCAAGAGCAAGAGTCTCAATTCAATAGTGAAAAACTCCAGCTCTTCATCAGGATGAACTACTCTATTCTTTGTGTTTTCATTATTCAGCCTTTAATTCATTACTCATAATAACTCATTCTTAAACGTGTTTCTCACACCATTAATTTGGTGTTGTCTGTGAGAATGACATCGTTGTTCTAAATCGAAATTTTCATTGTTGTTTGATGGTTCAGACCAAAAAAATGAGCCATAATCAAGACAACCAACCCAGGGTTCCTCTACTATAAGCCCCACCAGATAATCACCCACCACTAGGAGATCATGGAGTTCTAATCCAGGCCATGATGGAGTTGCTATGATAAAATTAGCAGATCTTACAGCTCATGACAGTCCAGCGATAACCTCCCCTCGAGGAAAATGAAGAATAAGGTAGAAGTCAATCTGGCGACAACACCCATAACTAGCGTAATTTGAATGCCAACAAGGTGGAAGATGAAAGCAGAACTAACGAAGGGGTTAGAACTAATGTTCAACCTCCCTCCTCTGCTGCCTCTTCCCCTGGACAAATGCTAGGAAGGAAAAACCAAGGAAATTCAAGACGAGCTGGGCAATATGAAGATCTTCATCAAAAAGAGAACCCCGATCTCAATGGGAACCCTGGTATAGCAGACCGAATCTCCTTTCACCACGGAGATCCAAAATTTTCTCCACTCATCCAAATTCAATATAACTAATAGGGAAGCCTTCAATGGCACCAAAGATCCATTCGATCGCTTGAACACCCAAAAATATATGATACAGTTGCACGGTTATCATGACCCAATCAGATGTCGGCCTTTGCAATCACCTTCAAGGGATCAGTCCTGAACTGATACAATAAATTACCATTCAAAGAACTCTCCATACAGTTCATCTTGCACTTCATAGGAGCGAGAAGCCACCGAAATCAACGTCTTATCTCCTCAACATCAAGCAAAAGCCCGATGAAACGCTAAAGAAATACGTTCAACGATTCAACTGAAAAACCTTGCAAATCGACAGCCTCGATGAAAAAGTAGCTTTGACAACCTTTATCGTTTTTATTTACCTTGAAAAAAAAATATTTCCTTTTGAATAAACAAAGCTAGATGTGCCGTTTAGGAGTGTTTATAGGCTTAGCCGGGCTAGTCCTAGTGAAATTTTTTTCAGACGGCTTGGGTAGTGTAAGCACAGTCCTTATCCAAGTAAATTATCGAGTAGGCGGGGTGAGGCAGGACTTCAGATAGAGATAAGCTACCTACAACCTAACCCGCGAGTCTATTAGACGAGTCTGCTCGCAAGTTTTTTTATATACAATTTTATTTAAAAATAATTANTTGCTCGCAAGTTTTTTTATATATAATTTTATTTAAAAATAATTAATATTTTTGTAACTTAATATTTGTGTAAATTATATTNCTGCTCGCAAGTTTTTTTATATACAATTTTATTTAAAAATAATTAATATTTTTGTAACTTAATATTTGTGTAAATTATATTTTTAAATCAAAAATAGAGTCAAAATAGATAAAAATAAAATAATAAATAATTTTATTTTTAATTAGGGGATAAACTATATCCAATAAAATGAATACATTTCAACTAGGTTGACATCTACTTACTTATCTATTTTTTGCATTACTCTACCATTTAAAACTTGTATGTTTAATANAAACTATATCCAATAAAATGAATACATTTCAACTAGGTTGACACCTACTTACTTATCTATTTTTTGCATTACTCTACCATTTAAAACTTGTATGTTTAATATATAGAAAATAAAATAATACATTATTTATAGTATCTAAATTTTTAAAACTTCAAATTTTGATATTGAGAGACTTATTTCAAAGTTTTAAATTTAATGGTCTAAAAGTATAACTTTTTTCCAAATGAAGGATGGGCGGGTTGGGCTTGACGGGTAGGCTCTTGGGCTGGGTTTCGGGCCGGATAATGGGTTTGAAGACAAATTCAAGCCCTCTTTTTAAAGATATTGGGCTCGAGCTCAGGCGGACCAACTATCAGGTCTATTGAGTTTTGAGCCTATTTTTTCGGGCCGAATAACNTGGGCCGGATAATGGGTTTGAAGGCAAATTCAAGCCCTCTTTTTAAAGATATTGGGCTCGAGCTCAGGTGGACCAACTATCAGGTCTATTGAGTTTTGGGCCTATTTTTTCGGGCCGAATAACAGGATCCATGAGTAACCCAGTCCATGAACATACTTAGTGCCGTCCTTATATTGTTCTGCTGCAGCTTTGGTGGTGTAATGCTTGTGTANCGGGCCGGATAATGGGTTTGAAGACAAATTCAAGCCCTCTTTTTAAAGATATTGGGCTCGAGCTCAGGCGGACCAACTATCAGGTCTATTGAGTTTTGAGCCTATTTTTTTCGGGCCGAATAACAGGATCCATGAGTAACCTAGTCCATGAACACACTTAGTGCCGTCCTTATATTGTTCTGCTGCAGCTTTGGTGGTGTAATGCTTGTGTAAAAAAGCATGTGGGGATCGTCATGTCCAATGCTCTCTTGCTCTAACATTGAACTATGTCTGTGGTTCTTGGGAATATGATAGTTTATAAATTAATTTTCAAAGAAAAAACAACTATTAATAGCATTCTATCAGGAGTTCAAGCAAATACATCACTATTGAGGCTGCTTTCGTGTTCATAGGCTATATGACTGAGTAACCAAAAATAGCTGTGATTACCCCCAAACAAAAATCTAAAGGAGTAGTGTAGGTATACAAAATTGGGAGCAAATTGCACGAAATTCACAGTCATGAAGAACAGAGGCAGAGACAGGATTATTTCCGGAGGGGGGCCATTAGACATTCAAATGGTATGTTTGATTTTGAACTTTAGAGTATATTGGACCCATAAAATAAAGGGTAATATAAATTATAATTTTTTATTATAATAAAATCATATTTTTTAACGGTTATATTAACAGATATTAACGAAAAGGGGTTACGTGTTACACGTGCACAAACGNCCAGGATTATTTCCGGAGGGGGGCCATTAGACATTCAAATGGTAAGTTTGATTTTGAACTTTAGAGTATATTGGACCCATAAAATAAAGGGTAATATAAATTATAATTTTTTATTATAATAAAATCATATTTTTTAACGGTTATATTAACAGATATTAACGAAAAGGGGTTACGTGTTACACGTGCACAAACGTCATGAGATGTAGGAGTAATATTTTAAATGTGAAAGAGTCCAAATGATTAAGTGACAAGCATAAAGAGATCTAGGTATAATTTATTAATTTAGTTTTAGATATACGTTGATAAAAAATTTTATCTTTGAGAATGCAAATTGAGATTTTTTTATCTTTGGAGGTACATATTGATACAAATTTCTATCTTTGAGGGTGTAAATTGAGATTTTTGATCTTTGAGGGTGCAAATTGAGATTTGAACGATCTTTCAGGGTACAATTTGCAATTAATCCTATTTTTTTTGCAAATAAGGGCTTAATTTGTTTTGCTCCGGTACCCTTGTCTTTTCTAAAAATATGCATAACACCCTGTTGTATCCTATCTTGTATCCCACCCGTAACCCAACGTACCTTTGACGTATCCCAACGTATCTAAAATTAAAAATTTATTTATTTTTAATAGCGGATACTTCTTAGTCGTATCCAAATACTTTGTCTCTTTTGAAGTATCCGTGCTTCATAGATAATATAATAGTTTAAATATGTTACAGTAAACTACACAATTGACTTTTAAACTATGACTTTTGTATCAATTGAGCCCTTAAACTCTAAAATTTTAGCAATTAAGTCTTTTTATCACCATTCATTAGGTTTTTTGATGAAGTGTCTCACGTGTTCACCATATAAACAACATATTAGAAATATTTTAGATTGTTCTTTCGAAACCTATCAAACGAAAAACTTCCTTTCTTTCCACCAATCAACCGAAATCCTAAACCTCTTTCATACATATCAAACGAAACAAATCAACAAGTTCTTCGATCTAATATAAAAAAATAGATTATATAAATGTAGACTCTTCGAGAAACTTGCTAATCTATTTCGTTTGATAAGTATGAAAGAAATTTAAGTTTAAAATTTCGATTAATAGGTATGAAGAATGAAGATCTTAGTTTGATAAGTTTCAAACAAACAGTCTAAAATATCTCTAATCTATTATCCATGTGTTGAGCTCACAAGACATTCCGTTCAAAAACTTAACGACTACTGACACAAAGACTTAATCGCTAAAATTTTTGACTTTAGAAACTCAATTGACAATACATAATACTTAATTTAGGGACTTAATTGACACAAATGTTAAAGTTTAAAGCTCATTTGTTTAGTTTACTGAATATGATATGTTACTTTTATAGAGTGAAAGAAAAAAATATTAAATTTATAGTTAAAATACCCACCCCTAAGGAAAATTTTTTTAATCCTCTCCTATTTGGAATACATAACAGCACAAGGCATATCTACCTCCCATTACATTTGTGCAATCATAAGCCTGTTTTCCCAACAAGTGCTCTGAAATAAAATTTTCTTCCCATTAAACAGAAAAACAGGCATAAACCGCTATAATGGCCGGGACAAAGAGTCACGATCCCACGAGGGTGAGCTAACTCCAAAAACCCGCCCTTGTAACATTAACTTATATATAACCTATAAAAGGTGTACTATTTAAAAACAAATATACTACAATCCTGACCAAGAAGGCAGCACTCTTCCTCCACCATTCCGATCAATCTTTATATTGGAGCCATTAACTCCAATGTTACAGTTAGAATCATCGAAATCTAGATCCTCATCTACACATTCCTCATAATAATCTGGCTCCCTATAATCAATAACCTCGGGACACTTAGTCTGCTTTTTCAGTATCCTTTTCTTAGACCGGCCAGTGCTTTGAAAGAAGTCATCCTCGCCATCTTTGAAGTTCCCATTTGAGGCCTTAATTGTGTCTCTTCTCCGTTTTGCAGAATCATTACTGTCGTTACTGCTGTTGGTTTTGTGTCCCTTGTAGTGTTCCTTAATGGTAGCTTCAATGGTTTCCAGGATCCGATCTCCATACTTGACTATCTTGACCCTGAATTACGTGAATATATTTATTGATATATATCCTCAGAAACTGCAAATTGATACTTTCACCTAAACTTAAAAACTTACTTGCCAATGCCATTAATCTCTAAAAGCTCATCCGTAGTTCTGGGTATTCTCTTGCTGATTTGCTGCAATGTAGCATTTCTGACCAAGAAAAACAACATATGAAGCCAGTTTTACCAGTAACTCCATTGCAATACTTCTAGTAATCNGATCTTTCAGGGTACAATTTGCAATTAATCCTATTTTTTTTAGCAAATAAGGGCTTAATTTGTTTTGCTCCGGTACCCTTGTCTTTTCTAAAAATATGCATAACACCCTGTTGTATCCTATCTTGTATCCCACCCGTAACCCAACGTACCTTTGACGTATCCCAACGTATCTAAAATTAAAAATTTATTTATTTTTAATAGCGGATACTTCTTAGTCGTATCCAAATACTTTGTCTCTTTTGAAGTATCCGTGCTTCATAGATAATATAATAGTTTAAATATGTTACAGTAAACTACACAATTGACTTTTAAACTATGACTTTTGTATCAATTGAGCCCTTAAACTCTAAAATTTTAGCAATTAAGTCTTTTTATCACCATTCATTAGGTTTTTTGATGAAGTGTCTCACGTGTTCACCATATAAACAACATATTAGAAATATTTTAGATTGTTCTTTCGAAACCTATCAAACGAAAAACTTCCTTTCTTTCCACCTATCAACCGAAATCCTAAACCTCTTTCATACATATCAAACGAAACAAATCAACAAGTTCTTCGATCTAATATAAAAAAATAGATTATATAAATGTAGACTCTTCGAGAAACTTGCTAATCTATTTCGTTTGATAAGTATGAAAGAAATTTAAGTTTAAAATTTCGATTAATAGGTATGAAGAATGAAGATCTTAGTTTGATAAGTTTCAAACAAACAGTCTAAAATATCTCTAATCTATTATCCATGTGTTGAGCTCACAAGACATTCCGTTCAAAAACTTAACGACTACTGACACAAAGACTTAATCGCTAAAATTTTTGACTTTAGAAACTCAATTGACAATACATAATACTTAATTTAGGGACTTAATTGACACAAATGTTAAAGTTTAAAGCTCATTTGTTTAGTTTACTGAATATGATATGTTACTTTTATAGAGTGAAAGAAAAAAATATTAAATTTATAGTTAAAATACCCACCCCTAAGGAAAAAATTTTTAATCCTCTCCTATTTGGAATACATAACAGCACAAGGCATATCTACCTCCCATTACATTTGTGCAATCATAAGCCTGTTTTCCCAACAAGTGCTCTGAAATAAAATTTTCTTCCCATTAAACAGAAAAACAGGCATAAACCGCTATAATGGCCGGGACAAAGAGTCACGATCCCACGAGGGTGAGCTAACTCCAAAAACCCGCCCTTGTAACATTAACTTATATATAACCTATAAAAGGTGTACTATTTAAAAACAAATATACTACAATCCTGACCAAGAAGGCAGCACTCTTCCTCCACCATTCCGATCAATCTTTATATTGGAGCCATTAACTCCAATGTTACAGTTAGAATCATCGAAATCTAGATCCTCATCTACACATTCCTCATAATAATCTGGCTCCCTATAATCAATAACCTCGGGACACTTAGTCTGCTTTTTCAGTATCCTTTTCTTAGACCGGCCAGTGCTTTGAAAGAAGTCATCCTCGCCATCTTTGAAGTTCCCATTTGAGGCCTTAATTGTGTCTCTTCTCCGTTTTGCAGAATCATTACTGTCGTTACTGCTGTTGGTTTTGTGTCCCTTGTAGTGTTCCTTAATGGTAGCTTCAATGGTTTCCAGGATCCGATCTCCATACTTGACTATCTTGACCCTGAATTACGTGAATATATTTATTGATATATATCCTCAGAAACTGCAAATTGATACTTTCACCTAAACTTAAAAACTTACTTGCCAATGCCATTAATCTCTAAAAGCTCATCCGTAGTTCTGGGTATTCTCTTGCTGATTTGCTGCAATGTAGCATTTCTGACCAAGAAAAACAACATATGAAGCCAGTTTTACCAGTAACTCCATTGCAATACTTCTAGTAATCAAGAATAAGGACAGAAAGAAAAGGCAAAAACAAAAACCAAACAATCAAACCAAAAATAAATAAATCAAGTGCTAGTGTGATACATATTTTTCCCTAATATGAGACTATTGTCTAGAACAGTGATAAAGTTCCAGGTAACAACCGTGAATTGTGGGGTTTGAATCTGATATCAACCACTTCATATAAGTATAAAGTAATACTGTCATTTCCGTTTTGCACCCAACCCATCGCTCCTAGTCATAGCACCCCCAATTTATGATGACAAAAAAGGTACTAACCCCTTCACATCCTCTAAATTTCCATAACCAAAAAAATAAAAATAAAAATAAAAAATCAGAGGGAGGTATTTCATTAAAATAATTGGAACAATGCAAGCTCACCCAAATATGTGGTATGTCATGACCCTTTCCCCAGCTTCCTTCGTAAGCACCAATCGAAGCATTCGTAGAGCAGAATACAATTTGGCTGAGAGGTTCTGCAGAAACACAAACAAGCAAAGAGGTAAAGAAAAATATTTTGAAAGAATATGCAATTAGAAATCATAGCTTAGGGGTGGGTAAGACACGGAGCATAATAGTGAAAAATAGAAAATATACCACGTCAACTTCTGACTGAGGTTGGGCAGAAGTGTCCATTTGTGGAGGACTTAGCTTCCATGACGTTTGCGAGCCTTTTGCTGGAGTTGGTCCAGATTTACCCTGTTTAGATGCTTTAACAGAAGGGAATCTGCAAGCTATTCGAACATCAGCAAAAACAAGGAAGCATGCATGTGGGTAAAACCAAAACAGCCAATGTTCAAATACTACTAAATTGTTTTTCATCTAATTCATGAACTGATTGATTCAAGAACTTCAAGAAAATGCCGTTGGGTCAGCAAGATAGCACAAAAGTACAAAGTAATCATTAATAAATAACTATTGTTAGCTTCTCATATTATAATATGTGGCCGACATTAGTGTTGTTAGCAATCATTAACAAACTATGATAGCAAGGGATAGCCAGCAGAGAAGAACAGTCTAGTCATATTAGGATAGAAACATATTTTATCATCAGTAAGCACCAAAATTTTTGCTTCAACAAATACAAACTTAAGGAGTTATGAGCAAGCCAAGAAAAAGAATCTCCCAGCCAGCTATGGAGATATAACATCTAAATGCACTTGTGGTTAGTGGGCTTGGTGAATAAGGCACTGTTTGGCGGACAGTTGAGATGGGCTTCTAGGAGATGCAAGTGCTTCTACAACTGGCTTTGTTGTTTGGTGCAATAATAAAAAATGACTTTTCTGAAAGTGCATCCACTAGATGCCCATTCTAAAGAAGCAGCATAGAGGAGCTTCTCAAAACTGAGATTTCCAACTTCGCGCAAAGTCACGGGGATCATTAAAATCTAAAACTTTAATTCCAATAGTGTCCCTTATTCTTTGAAGTAACTGTCCACTCTAACCCTACAAGACAAGTAATTTGCATAGCTTAGTATGATAAAGCAGCAGCCCAGGGAAAGAGTTTTATGCTTCATGTTGGATTGTTCTGCAACCTTTCAGCTTAGTCAAATAGGGCTATACATAATTTATAATATTTTTGGATTATGTTATAGAAGTTAAAAATTAAGATATTAGGATCGATTCCAAACACCTCAAAAATTGTAACTGATAGTCTGACACTCTAAAAAGTTATATTTTATGGTACAATACTAAAAATAACTTTCGATAACGCAAACATAGATTTTCACATATGATAGGTATAAACGAATGTACAGACATGACAATTATAATGGGTTCGCCAAGATACTATTGCCAGACATGCAATTGAATTTAATTTTAAAATCAAGGTTGAGGGTATACTGGAATGGAGATATAAATTTGTACATTTAAGATGTTGCCACCAAATATATAAAGGCACTTCTTGATACAAATGCACTAACAAAATGTATTCACCAAACACAAAATATTTTTTAAAAGTCCATTCTTACAATGGACTTTTACTTTGAGAAGTTCGTCAAACGCAACCTAACTTATTTGTTCAACAGTCAATCAGAATAGTGCTAGAACCATAAGTTTGTAAATAATTGGGACTCAGCTCTGACAAATCTAAAGCTACATTTGTGAACAACATTTGACCACTCAAACACAGTGAGTGAAATGTGTAAATTAAGCAAATTTCATAAAGACAAAACAACATGCATGCTTTCACGTTGTACCTAGCTCCAATTGATGTCAAACATATGTGCACAGGCTATATTGTCATCTGACACAATATAAGAAAGATATCCCTCACTTATCATAACTTTAAGGTATTCATCTAAAACTGAGTCTACAAAAACTTAAATCACATCAAAGAAAGAGAAAAGTAAGTAGTTTACAGAGAGATGGACCTTAATTTGATTATTTGACTACCAGCATAGAGATTGGAGACCTTGGATCCATTCACCTGAATACAAAAGCTCAAGCGACAATGACAACGCTTTAGATATTTGACAACAACAAATAGATAGTAAGAAAGAAACAATATCCAGTCCTTCTAAGAACGAAGTTTTAGTATAGCAACTTGTCAGGTAGCTCGAATTGAAAGCCTTAAGGGGTTACGACCTTGAGATCTCAAATTCAACACTGGCAAGAGAGCCTTTGTTTACCTAAGGTGAGTGTTTGTGGTTAATTGAGCATCCGGAATTTATATCATGGTCACCAGTTCAAATGGCACATGATTGGGACAATTACTCGATTTTGCCAAAGCATGTGCAAATATGGCAGACCAAGTAAAAAAAGTACTAGAGCTAAATGTGAAGTACCTTTAATGCTGATGACAGAGAACCATATACATCACTTTTCTTTACATTCTCCAAAAGAAAATCCTCAGTAACAAGATGACGAAGCACACGGGACACTTCACCCTTGGCTAGATTTTTTCCAGCTCCATGCAGGCTTAAGGAATCATGTCTATGTTTCTTGACCTAAGTTTTCAATAAAAGGATAAAACGTCGATGATTAACACGAAAGGAAAGAAAGCAAACTGGCTGTGATTGTTAAGACATACAACTTGGCTCAATGAACCCCTGTAGACTTCCAAGATATGGGACGATGAAAACTGCTGTCCTGTTAGCTTCACCAGTTCAACCTAAGAAGTGTATTTTACAACAATGCTTAATGAGTGAAACCAGAAAAAAGGGTAATATATAGATATAAACATTAATATAAATGAGAAACAAGTTCAATATCCAGTGGCGGAAAATAGGAAACTAAATAGAATAAACAATGAATATTTATGCCTTCTAACCAATTGCTTTGCAATCTCGGTGACATCTTTCTCAATAAGGTTTTGAATTTTGGAACAATTGTCACATGTTTTTCTGCAGTTGACAGAATCAAATTTTTCCCCAAAATGGAGGAGCTGTAGGAGACGACGACAATCAACATCATTCTCACAGTAACTGACCTGAAAAAAAATTATGTTAGCAATTCAAGAGATAAGTGGCTCTGACCCGTCTTAACATCAATGACAACAAAAAGCTTATATCAAGTACCATTCGTAACAGGTTTTCAGTATTCGTTTCCAATATCCTCCCAGAATTTGCCATACTTGGGCGATTATATCCGGATGCTAAAGGGCTTTGCTCTATTACTCCTTGACTAATCATATGCTTGACTCGCATCTACAGAGAATTAGAAGAGTAATATCAAAATCTGAAGTCAGAAATGTAAAGAATATAATGGAAGGACAATAAGAGACCAATATCAAAAGTTAACAAAGTTGCTATCTATTGCAGAAAAAAATTATTTTCAAACCAGAGACGAACAATGAAATTAATGCTTATGGTAGTGGAACATACATAATCACTGTAGCTGTAATATAACACACAAGATGAACGCTGACCATCCCTACCAGCACGGCCACACTCCTACAACACGAAGAAGAGGCAAAATAATCTCAGCTTGGATCCTCACTACAACATCGTATTTTAGATCATATGATAATAGTGTCCTAAACAGCGAGAGAAGTGACAACATAGGTTTGACAATACCTGATGGTAGCCTTCAATAGATTTTGGAAGAGAATGATGAACGACAAATCGAACATCTGGTTTATTGATACCTGAGACATGTAGTGTTAATACATTAATATTAACATCATCAGCTTAATAAGGCAGAAACCAGCAGTAATCAACTATACCCATCCCAAATGCAACCGTTGCACATATTATGTTTATCTCATCCTTGCTCCACTGTCTCTGAACAAATGCACGTTGAGCAGCATCCATGCTACCGTGGTAAAATGCTGCTTTGTGTCCACATTCCTGAACAATGACTATGTTCCATTAAGCAATTGGCATGGTATCATTTAAGCATTACTCATCATGAACATTTAATCTATCACTTTTTCTATTAAGTTCAGTTTCAGCATTCAGCAAGTCATCTCTATAACACCATGGGAACTATAAAAGCTTTATACAATTCTAGAAACATATACACAAGCTATATAAATTCCCTTAATAGAGCACAATGGCAAAACAAGATTTATGTAGCCGACCTCAAAAATGTTGGCACAAAGTTGAGTATTCCCAAATAATATAAAGACAACAATAAAATAACTTTCCATTTAGGAAACTAGGAATAATTTGTTAATGTAGTCACATTCTATATACCAGCTTCCATAGCACATGCGAATGTGTCTGCAAACTACAACACTGAATGACAATGTGCAGCAAACTGTAACAATGCATTGTACAAATATGTAGAAAAGTTTAATTTTGCTCCAGAAAAAATTTATATACAACAAAAACATAAAATAGAGACTTACATGCACACCAATCTGAGAAAAAAGAGAGAAAGAGAGAGAAGGGTTGTGTTTGAGAGTTTGAGAGGAATGAATATCATGTGTGATCTGAAGCCAGACTTATCACTATTTATTTGGGCAGTTGAGAATGTAAGAATTTGAACGGGACCTGAATACGTGGGTTTGGCAGTTAAATAAAACAGTGGAGAAGTGGCATGTTCAAGTGTAATTCTGAGAGAAGAAACTGTATCCAAACTAACCAGATCAGTTTTTTTTATCTAAGAACAAAAGATATCATAAAATCCTAAGAACCAATAGTATAACAATTTAGGGTGAGGACACCAAATTCACCCTCTCCTTTATTAATTCTATATAGAAAAGACTACTCTCTTTCCCTAAACAACGTAGTAACAAAGATGAACCTGTAATTTCTCCGCAACTTTTTCACAGTCCATTCTTGAAAGACAATAAATGATACCACATTCATCAAAATGATTTTCTTTGATGAAATTATCAATGTCCTCCAGACACTTTTTTGTCTTGGGAATAACAGAATACCTGCAATATTGGAAAAGGATGGGTCATTGCAATTTCAAGCTAGTGTAAATAATATATATTAAATTAGTACTTACTGTAAGTTCGGCCGATTGAAGCTTTGCCTAAAAACAATGCAGTTAACAAGACCAAGAGCCTGTACCACATCTTCTTTGACACTGGCTGTGGCAGTAGCAGTCAAGGCCAGAACTGGTATATTTGGGAACTTCTGTTTCAAGATACCAAGACACTGGATGTGGTACCCTAAATTGTTTAGCATCATCTCAAGAAACTTGATAATGCACAGAGTTAGGGCTTTACAAAGTCAGAACCTGATAATCTGGTCTAAAATCATGTCCCCATTGGCTTACACAATGCGCTTCATCAATAACAATCCTAGCAAGTGACTCACGGGCATGTAAACTCTCCAAGTGTCGCAACAGAACATCACTTCTGTAATCAAATTTCAGTTAATTACCCATATTAGAACAACAACAAAAACAAATATATAGCACATCACAGTAGTATTTAACATCAATGGCCTGTGGCAAGCTCATATNTCCAAGTGTCGCAACAGAACATCACTTCTGTAATCAAATTTCAGTTAATTACCCATATTAGAACAACAACAAAAATAAATATATAGCACATCACAGTAGTATTTAACATCAATGGCCTGTGGCAAGCTCATATACAACCAAGCATAGAACTAATCTCGAACATATCAGTTAAGCTCAAGTCAAGTTATTCACATGAACAGACCAACACTTGGAGTGTAGGCTCATTTATAATTCTAGAGCTTTTGCATACTTTTTGATTCCAATAGTTGAACGAAAAAAAAAAAAACACTTGGCCAAATAAAACAAAAAGAGATTCTTTAAAAGAAGTGTTATTCTTCCGATGAGCATATTGCAAGACATTCTTGGACTGCTCTAAAACTGTAAAACCCGGGTAAATTTGAACTTTTTACCAAACAGGGCAAAAAGTTAATTTGTCACTACAGTACGGGTTGTAAATCTGAATTTTTCTAGAGCTCAGATGACAAAACGGACCTCACCGTTGGATTCGTCTCGCAAAATCTAGTTACCCCGTCAATTTTCATCGAATTCTGAGATAATTAGATTTTTCACGTTTTACGAGATGGTTAAGTCTCGGTTGACCCAAAAATAAAATTTTTAATAAAAATTTAAATTTTAGAAAATAATTTAAAGCAAATTGAAATAAAAATAATTTGAACTTAAACCGGGGCCAAATTTAATTATTTCGGAGCGAAAACGGACCCAGAAAAAAGATGACCATGTGACGCGTTGTGGACCAAGAATTTAGAGAGTATAAATAGGAGGAGAAAATCTGATTTCTCCCCATTGTTCAGCTGGTCTTCAACGTTGGAGAGGAAGAAAGGGAAAAAGCGAGAAATTCAACCTTCTCTCTATGATCTACGACTCCTCGTTACTCAAATCAACTCTAGTCAAGTATTAAAGTTGTTCTCCTCGACAAGGGCTACGCATCCATACCAAAAAGGACAGATTCCACCAAAGTTTTCGAGATGAAATTTTAGAGAAAATTCAAGATTGAGATTAGGTGATGTTCTTGAAGGTTCTACAACTCATTTTACGGTTCAAGAGGTAGGGTTTTTATCATAACTAGGTTTATTTTCAACCTAGAAATGTGATATAAAATGGGTAGGTTGTTAAACATCTTTAACATTTGCATATTGTTGAGAATTTGATGATTTGAGTATTTAAAATGGGTAGAATAAATTCTATCTTAAATTGGGTATGTAGAAATTACCTAATGTGATTCTTGAACTATGTGATAAAAATTGGGCATGTATGTGATTATATGATTGTGTGCCTTGAAAGTGTTTGATTAAATGACAAGATGGAATTAGGTGTGTTTTAATTGCATAGATAATGTGATAACATGCTTGGAATTCGTTGTTCGGTGTGATGTTAATATATATTTTATGATATATTGGCATAATGATGATTTATGGAAATTATTATGGAATATGTTGTTAGGTGTTAAATTGGTCCATTTGGCATTCATAGCATATTGGACATGAATTGGTTACTGTTATGGTTCATTACATTACATTTGCACGGGGGCATCACATTCATAGGCATAAAGCGTGAATGTGGGTGTGTGTGTGTGCATGATTGATCAAACACCATTCTTGGTGGATGAAATGTGGGCTCGGNCATGGTTCATTACATTACATTTGCACGGGGGCATCACATTCATAGGCATAAAGCGTGAATGTGGGTGTGTGTGTGCATGATTGATCAAACACCATTCTTGGTGGATGAAATGTGGGCTCGGAAAAAGTTGGAACGAAGGTCTGACTAAGTTGCACGGTTGCATGAAAAAATTGTGTCGAGTACAGCAAATAAAGCTAGATTCTCCCTCAGGTACAAGACCCGATTCCCTGGTTCATACACTCTTCTGAGGTGAAATTCTGAAAAAATGTATTGGTGTGCGATACCAAAACTCCGCTACCCAACAAAAACACATGATTTTGTTTTATAAAATAATCATTCGATGTGTAACGTCCAACAAAGACACATGATTTTATTTAAAAAATATCATTTGACGTNGCAAGACCCGATTACCTGGTTCATACACTCTTCTGAGGTGAAATTCTGAAAAAATGTATTGGTGTGCGATACCAAAACTCCGCTACCCAACAAAACACATGATTTTGTTTTATAAAATAATCATTCGATGTGTAACGTCCAACAAAGACACATGATTTTATTTAAAAAATATCATTTGACGTATATCATCAATGGCTGATTTATACACATTGACATTGCATTGTATTGAATGAATCAGAGAGGGCTCAGGTTGAAGTGCATGAGTGAGTCTCATCTCATTTCATGGCATGACATTGAATTTTTATCATTGTATACATATTCTTGATTGAAATGTTTGAATGGTTGATTGTCGCATGTGAACATTTCATATGTATCTAGGTTGGGGAGTAACCTCTTTAGGAGATACCCTATTGACCGTGACTCACCTTTTATGGGACAACATTTCAAGTGCGGAATACACGCCAGTAGACGACTCTCATTCGGGCCCTTAAGAAAGAAAAAAAGCCGAGATGTGACTTTATTTTGAGATTTTGTAAAAATTATTATGAAAACTTAATTTTGGCATGTAAATATAAAAAATTTGTAATCGAACTCATATGAACTATTTTAATGTAAAAAAATTACATGTAGTTATATGAATATGGATAAATGGACCAGTGTAGTCAATATTTATTTATAAATAGACCCAGTGTGATCGGTGTTTACTTATAAATAGACCCGGTGTGGTCAATATTTATTCATAAATAGACCCGGTGTGGTCAATGTAGTATAATTACACAGGTTGTGTTTTGAGTAGAACTCCTCGTACAAAGGAGACTTTGTCCGAATTTTGTTAAATTAAGGATCCCCGATTTTTGGGGCGTCACAAAAACAGATTATAATTTATTATGTGTGACTCATGATGAAACTCATCTCCACTAATATCTTCCTTGTGTGGCTGCCGGGTAAATTAGTCAGCAGCACAAGTTTCATTTTACGGCACAATTCAGTAATATATATTTCCAGTAGAACTATATGGAAGATCAGAATAACCATTGAAGAAAATCAGGCAGGGCATAGAGTAAAGCAGTAGCTTTTCAACATCTGCAACACAATATGATGAGTAGTGCCTGTTCAAAATTAATAGTAGCATTCTTGGTCCTTTGGCTGTAGCAGTAATTCATGTAATTCTTCTAATGTTAATATTTTTAACATGCGTGCTGTGTTTTGTGCTTTTTGACAAACTTTGAAGCGATTAGATCTAGTAATGCAGATACATTTTGCCAGAAAATAATTCACCAAGATAACAAAGACTCACTTAGCAACTTTCTCTGGTGTGACGTATACGAGCTTGTATTTACAATATTCCGAACTAAGCTCTCTAAGAATCTCCTGTTGCTCACTCCACTCCATATTGGCACTTAAATATGTAGCAGGTATGTTCACCTACAATGTAATTATAGTGTGTTTGTGAGAAAGAGAGAGAGAGAGACCACAATTAAAAATAAGGCGTGTTAAATTCCAAATGAAAGTAAGGTTTACCTGCAATAGATGCATTATTTGATCCTGGATAAGTGACACGAGAGGCGAAATTACCAAAGTTATCCCTGGACATATAAGAGCAGGTAGCTGCAATAAAACATCATTTAGAACATGTCCGAGTCCATTATAAAGGTTATTACACAGCTCCAATTTGCAATACAAGTAGCAAAACTCTAAAATGTGCCATACATGAAAAATGATCACATGACAACCAATTGCTCCACTCCTATTTCAGACAGAGAAACTATTTTCCAATTAAATACAAACTTAAATAGGAATACAAGCAAAAATAGAAAAAAAAAAAACATAAAACAATTGAAACATGAGATTAGTATGATATGGTTTTCAAAGAAGTTGGGATGGGTGGGGCTATTCCCACCCTATTTAATTTCTCCTTATCAATCTACTAAATTCACCCCTTTTATGCTCACCACATTAGTAACTAAGCCCACCATATGCTACTTACACCCCATTAATAGTTAAACTCAATCATTTTATGTACACCCCTTTAATGAAAAAAATCATTGTAAGAAAAAAATAATGAAAGAAAACAATTAGTTTGAATGCATAAATATATTTATGAAATAAGAAAAAAAAAAAAAACCAAACAAAACTGAAACAAGAAAAAATTAACAACCAAAACGAAACAAGAAAAAAAAAACTAAGTAAGTTGAAACAAGAAAAAAAAGGAAAAAAAAGCAGACCAAAATAAGAAAAAAAACGGAATTAAACAAGGAAAAAATAGAAAGAAATAAGTAAATCGAAACAAGAAAGAAAAAAATTAAGCAAAAATTAAAGGAACAAGTAAAACTATAAGACGCAAAACCGAATATAAAAAAAAATAAACATCAAGCACAAACACAAAATTGAACAAAAAAAAATAACTAGCATAAATGCAAAACCTTAACAAGATTAAAAAAAAACNCGCAAAACCGAATATAAAAAAAAATAAACATCAAGCACAAACACAAAAATGAACAAAAAAAAATAACTAGCATAAATGCAAAACCTTAACAAGATTAAAAAAAAACAAATAATCTAAAAACATACATATATATATACACAAATATAAATTCTAAATAAAAAATTATTAAACTTGACAGAGATATCAAAACATGTAAAAAATAATAAAAATCCATAGAACAAACATGAAATAAAACATATAATTAAATTGAGAAGTAATACTAATCTTGATCTCACTAAAAAAATTCATATTGAAAAAGTGTTTTTGTGAGTGCATGACATGAGATAGAGAATGAAAACCTAATTATAAAAAAATATGAAGTTAGTTTACTTAAAAAAGGGTGTTTATAGCATGAGGTAGACTTAGTGACA